TTATTTCATCATGAAATCTGAGGCTTCATTTTGCTGGATATAATTTCTTGGTTGCCACGCATTTTCTTTCAGAGCTTGGTCTATGTTGTTCCAGGATCTCCTTCTATTTCTTTAGACATTGATTTGTTCTTGTTTTTGCCTTGCTTTGAGAGGTAATGTCAGATAATTTATTTGTTGACTTTTTTATTCTTTTAATGAAAGATCTCAATGCAATGAATTCTCCTGTTCATACAGCTTTCATAGTATATCCCAAATATATTGGATATGTTGTATCGTAGTTCTCATTTGCCTCTAGGAATTTTTTTATATCCTCCCAAATATCTGCTGTTATCCATGCATGAATCTATAGCACATCATTCAGTGCCCAGGTGCTAGAGGAGCTTTTAATTTTTATTGTATCATTGATTTATAATTTCAGTTCATTTTGATCTTATAGAATGCGGGTATTGCCTCTATTTTATTGTATTTGCTAAGACTTGTGGCATAATAAACAGTCTATTTTGCAGAAGGAACTTGTGGTGATGAAAAAAAGTGTATTCGCACACTGAATAATAGAGTATTCTATATGTGTCTGTAATATCTAAACTATTGATTGTGGTAGTGAGTTCTATATTTAGTTGATTAAGTTTTTGATTGCAAAATCTATCCAATGGTGAGAGAGGTGGGTTATTGTCTCCCAGTGTTATTTTGTTGTCTGTTTCATTCTTGAAATTGACAAGTGTTTGTTTTCTGCATGTAGAAGCCCCATTTTGGGGGGAATAGATATTTATGACTAATATATATTGATAATGTAGGATTTCCGTCCACCATATGAATTATCCTTCTTGATTCCTTTTTACTCACTTTGGTTTGAAGTCCACTGTATCTGACTTGAGGAAGGAAACTCTGTTTGTGTGCATGTTCCCTGAAGTGATGTGTTTTATGCCACCCTTTCACCTTCAGTCTGTGGATGTCTTTTCCTGTGAGATGAGTTTCTGGAAGTCAGCATATTATTGGGTCTTTTTGAAAAAACCCAATTGGCCAGTCTATGTCTTTTGAAGACAAGTTTAGGCCATTGATATTCAGGGTTCTTATTGAAATGTGTTTAGTATTCCCAGTCATTTGGGTTTACTTTTGGTTTTTAACTTGACTTGGTTTCTCCTTTGACTATTCTTTCCTCTAGCGTAATTCTTCCTTTTGCTGATTTTCATTGCTGGTTTTCATTTCCTCCTAATGGAATATTTTGCTGAGAATGTCCTGTAGTGCAGGCTTTCTTGCTGTAAATTCTTTTATCTTTTGTTTATTAAGGAAGGCTTTTATTTCATCATGCAATCTGAGGCTTCATTTTGCTGGATATAATTTCTTGGTTGCCATGCATTTTCTTTCAGAGCTTGGTCTATGTTGTTCCAGGATCTCCTGGCTTTGAGGATCTGGGTTGAAAAATCTGCTGAGATCCAAACTGGTCTCCCACTCTATGCTGTCTGATTCCTTGATCTTTCATCTTTTAGAATAATATGCTTATTCTGTATGCTAGGTGTTTTCATTTTAATGTGACTTGGTATAGATCTGTTGAACTTATGTACATTTTGTGTCCTGTAAGCCTCTTGTATTTGATTTTCCAATTCATTCTTCATGTTTGGGAAATTTTATGATAGTATTTCAATGAAGAAATTGTGCTTTTTTTGGGGGAGGTGATTCTCTGTGGCTTCCTCTATCCTTATAAATCTTAGATTGGGTTTTTTGATTTTAGAAGTTCTCTTCATGGTTTCTTACCATCTTCTCTGTGTAGTCAATTTTATTTTTAAGATTGTATATTTAGTTTTCATTGTCTGAAGTGCTGTCTTCCAAGTGGTCTAGTCTATTGATCTAGTCTGCTTTCTAGTGAGCTTTATATTTGTTTTATTGTTTTCTCATTTTGAGAATTCATATTTTTTACAGAATATCTCTATCTTGAAATAATATTTTGCTACCTGTCTTTGCCCTCTTGTTTCTTTGTTGGAGTCATCAATCGGTGCCCGCATTTGCCCTCTTATATGGTTCTGTGATTTGCAGACCACATTATTTATGTACAGTTTCAACTCTTTCTTTCTGACATTTCATCTACTACTCTCTCAGTGGAATCTTTTATTGTAGCATCTTGGCTTGTTTCGCCCACTTTCCTCCCTTGTTTTTTCATGGTGTCTTTGTGTCTTTCTCTCTTGCAGTGTAGTTCTGAGGTATTAAAATTTCCACCCTGTCATCTTGTAGTGTCCCTGCAGGTTACCAATACCTCACTTTGAAGGGGGAGACCAATGTTTACAGCACCCAAAATAAAAAATATGTGGCTATAAATCAAATTCAATGACAGATTTTTTATAGAAAAGAGAAATGAAGTATTTGATTAACATTTACCATATAGAGAGTAGATTGCATAAGGGTTTGCAGATTCTGATGCTACTCAGCGAGAGACCAGAGGGTGTAGAATGAAATGTTTGTGAGGTAAGATTGAGCAGTTAGAGATATTCGTTTATAGGAAGGTTGAAAGGGAAATCAAAAGGAGTTCACTGTGAGCATCAGTATTAGAACATGGAGAAGAAGGTGACCCCATGCAAGGCTCTCTTGTCCTCTGCCACAATTTGGTGTCTATGAGGATACCTAGTAGGGATATCTCAGGTGCAACCAGGCCCACAGGGACCTTGGCGATGGTCTTCCAGGTCCTGGCTGTTGTCCCTAGTTGAAAGCATCCCTGTACCTAGTTAGTGGCAGCAGTAGTGGGACACCTGGAGGTACCTTGATGTTCTGCTTCCAGGCCTTAGATAGCTGCATAAATTGGGATCTGTCATAACTAAATATGGCAGAGGCAGCGGCAGAGGTAACCCAAGTTAGTGGTATCAGTGTCCCAAGATAAAAGTGAGTGTTTTCAGAGATGGGGCTGGAAGAGTGGGCTATGGGATGGAATGGGGTTGCCTGTGTGGAGAAGAACCTCTGTGGAGTGCAGTGCTGCAGCAGGCACTGCCTCCAGCCGCTGTCTGTTGTCCTATGGTGGAGGCTGCCATGTGGAAAGGACTATGGCAGTGACTTCAGTGTCCCAAGATGGAGGGGCTGTGGGGGGAACCACTCCTTGGTGTTGTAGAGCCATAGAATGGTTGTCATATCCACATGGCAGGGTCACACCCTCCTCCCCCAACATGGCATGTGGTCATGCTCCTCCTCCTCCTTCCTGAGTTCAAGATGCAGGCAGGAGAGGTCAGGCCCTGCTCGTGCATCTCATGAGCATCTTTAACACCTCACTTCTCTTGTCAGGTCTCTGAAACTTCCCCTTATCTGTAGAGGTAAGTTTGTTCCCAAAAGCTTGGTCTTTGTCTCTGATGTCATTCCAAAAACAAGGACCAAATTTTGAGTACATAGAAAAATAAGTTTTATTTGATTTTTCTCCCTGGACTCCCCAGTCCTAAGATGCCTAGTGTAGACTGTAAGTTGTGACCCATGAAGGCCTTCTGTTGAAAACTTCACCTCTGCTTAGATAGTACTGGAACATGGGGCCTTGGAGACGTAATTAGATTTAGAGGATTACCAGAGTATGGAGACACCAGGATGGAGTTCTAGAAGAGAGAATAGATGTGGCCATTTTGGCCATAGGAAGACACAATGTCAGGTGGCTGTGGGTACATAGAAAACCAGGAGGCCGCCCTCTTGGGGAAATCAGGACTGCAAGTGATTGAGGTGTTCCTAACTAGCCTCCTGAACTGTGAGAAATAGTATGTTGTGTAGGGCACATGGCTCTGGGATTGCGACAGCAGCCTGAGCTGTGACACTGTGTCCTCTTCACCTGTCTTGAGGCTGCATTTCCAGCATACAGCCCTGGTCTCTCTACTCCAAGGTGCCCGTGCCCAGAGCCCACTGGTCTTTCCAGAGGACTCATAACAGACTTGCATGGGAATCCTGTGTAGGGACTCTCACTGCAAGCCTGCTCTGGATCATCCATGGGCAGATGAATGGTTGTGGCAGAGCTGGAGGAACCAAGGCAGAGTGGGTAGTGTCTAGTCATTGGGGGTGGAAGAGGACAGATCACACCTCTACGGTGAAGACCTTTAAGATCACAGGTAATATATCTACTTTGGGCAAACATATCCATATTGTACTTTCTTTTAGACAGCTAGCTTACATTAGTACCAAAAGTGAGCCAGGAGTGGAGGGGACAGGTGGTGGGAGTGGGGCTCAGATCATGTTCCCAGGCCATGCCTCCTGTAGCAATCAGCTTCCAGGTGGAAAACAAGTAGATCTTGGAGAACTGGAACATATGTGCAGGTGACTCCTTGGAAAACTATAAATTAACACATTTCTACCTCTATAGTTTTCCCTCCTCATCTTAGATTTCCAGAAGGTTGAAGAAAAGTGAAGGGAGAGCATCTGTCACAGAAGAAGTAAAGCACTTGGGATACTGACTGTGTCCTTCATTGTGGCTGTACTGCGACCTGTCTCATGAACTTGGGCAATTTACTTTACCTCTGTTCATAAGTATCTATTATGATGAACATGCAATCTACCCACAAAAAAGTAGGAAGAAATGTTTGTTTTAAAAATCTCTCTCTCTCTCTCTCTCTCTCTCTCTCTCACATACACTCACACACATACACTCACACTCACTCACACTCACTCTCACACACACACACACATACACACACGCACACTTTTTTTCTGAGCATTAATAAACTTGCTTGCATGTATAGAAAATAATCTCTGTTAACATCATCGTTGTACCCACAATGTCACACACACATCTACCACAGAGTATGTGTTTAGTAAATTTGTTAGAATGGGTGAGTGACTAAATAAGCTTTAAAATTCTATCTATAAAATGAAGCTCAACTGTCAGTCAACACATATTATGAAGACAGAATACAGTATGTATAAATACCAAGCAAGGAAAATACATAAACATAAATGTCACAGGAAAAAATGATCTCATTGAGATGTTTATTTTTGCATAGAAGGATAGAGGATGCGATTGTTGCACTGATTAGAAAGAGACATGATGATGTCCTCGGAGGTCACATAGATTAAAGGTAAAGTTGAGACCAAGGGGTGGATCATGAAGAGAGAAAGGTGTTTAGTTGGCAGCAATGGTCTCTTGAATCCAGTCCAGGTAGTTGCAGACCTTGGTGTAGACACCGGGTTTGCCTTTCAGAGCACAGCCCAAGCCCCAGGACACAATACCCTGGAGCTCACCATTGCAGACCACGGGGCCACCAGAGTCACCCTGGGCAAGAGGGAAAAGACAGTCAGAGTCTTGTTCATGTTCAGAGGGGAGAATGGGCACCAGAACATTACTCCATGATCCAGGTGCTATACTTTGATCCAACCTCCCATCCTGAGTGATATATCATTTCTCCTCCTGGAAAAGCAACCCCCAATCTATTCCTATATCCCTCCTGTTCTTCCTCCTTACCCATAGCCCCTCCTCGTTTGTTAGTAGCAGCACAGGGCCAAGAAACCGTGAGGACTATACAGATTGAATGTGGTGCCACTGGTCCTGCTTCTCTTACAAGGTTGCATTCCACCCTATGCCTCCTGAGAAGGGCACTTGATGTTTGCACACCAGTTTCTAAGTATCAGTTTTACCCTCTTTTACTCTACCCATCACTACCACAAAGACAAATCTTGTGATTTATCTCAATGCTGCTCCCCTGTCACAATCAGTCCCATGGGCTCCACAGTCCTCTGAGTTTCAGAGAAGGAGAAACATGGTGGAGAAGAGAGACTGATATGGATGAAGCAGGAGTAGGAGACACTCACCTGGCAGGAGTCCTTTCCCCCCTCCAGGAAGCCCAGGCAGAACATGTTGTCAGTGACCTTGCCTGGGTAGGAATTGTGGCAAGCAGTGTCAGAGAGCACAGGGGCGTCCAGACACTGCAGGAGGGAAGGATATTTGACTGTGGAAAGCAAGAGTGAAAATGGACCATTATTCACAGGGTTCCTTGAATCCATTCTATTTCCCCTCTTTCACAGTATTACTCTTCAGTGTTCCAAGAAGCCAGTGACATGTATTATGCGTGAACATTTGACATAGGTTGTCCAAAAAGTTCTAATCAAATGTTTCTTTGACAGGAGCATCACTGGCCACAGATGTCAAGTACAGACACTGTTTTCTGGAGGAGGTGTATATTTTAGGCAGTAAGAAATTATGAATGCCTCTGTTTTATTTCTACCTTCTTTTTTAAATCTCTGCACCACTCTAATCATGAATTAAACGAATACCTTGACTTTTTGTTATCAAGTAATCTTTCTGCATCTTCTCCATGTTCTCAGGAAAGAACTTTTACAGATTTCATTTAGCATCATACAGGAGTACCTATACCCAAAGCTATGCTTAGGCAACCTTGCCTTGAGTGAAGATTTAGACTAACTGACCCTGCAGTGACCTCAAGCCTGGTGCTTGTTTCCAGTTACCATTTACCTCCAAAGCTCAGGGTGTTGCCCCAGCCAGACACGAGGCACTGAGTCCCAGTGGATGGACAGGATGTGGGCAGAGAGACTGTAGACACTCGAGCACTGAAGGTGGCGGGGGATGCCAGTTTGATCAGCATGATGTCGTTATTTAAGGTGTCTTTATGAAAGTTGGGGTGCTGGATGATCTTGGCTGCCTGAATGAACTGCTCATCTCCCTCAAGGACGTCAATGTCATGTTCTCCCAGACGCACTTGGAGTCGGCTGCATTAAGCATTAGAAGTGACCTAAGTATCCAATCAGAGCTTCTCTTTCCCCAAATCCCCCAAGGTGACCACAAACACAGAAGCCTTCTCATGAAGTATTTGTTCATACAGGGGATTGTGCCCTTAAGGCAGCATGTGGACCACCACACATGCTACAGGTGAGCAAGGTCCTTATGTCAGTGTTGTAGCTTGTACAGACCATGCCATCCATTGTGTTAAAACAAGAAGGTCTAAAAATGGGTAACATGACCCCAAGAAAAGCGTTGGATAAGGTAATGGGATTTGTGGCACCTGCCATTTTACCCCCTTTGGCATCACTGAGGGTCACAGAGAGCGGAAGCTGGAAGATTCAAAGACAGCAGGATGTTAAGGGAATAAATTGAGTTGTGCTTGTCTTTATGCTGTACCAGAATTATAATGCCTCTCAT